ATCATTAATTTTCTACTAACCTTATCTTTCCCAAAAAATAAAATGAATATAAAGATATTGAGACATTTTGCAGGTTCTAGTGCTCCTTTTGTATGTATATGCGTTATTATATTTTTTCTGTGACATTTGTAAACAAAGAAGAGTTGGGATACGAACCCATACTGATATTGATCAGCAGAAAGATAGCGAATTTGGCTGCATGGCTGGGCTTCGCAGGAGAGAGACTGCCAGAAAATAATCGTTTGGGGGATGTATCCTTCTATTATTCGTAAGATCCTGAATGTCATCCTATAAAAGAATACGAGATGCATTAGTCAGCAATACTGACGTAGTGTTGCTAGACAATCGAGCGCTTTGTAGCACACGGAAAGCGCTACGCAGATTTCCGATGCGCTAGTTGCAAATTTCAATAAAATAATAGAAAAAAATGCCTTTAAGAATTATTTATTATTATGATAATTATTATTATCGCTATCAATACCTTTGTCCTCTCAGCCAGTGTTTATAACTATCATGGGTCTGCTGTTGCTGTTTTAACCGTTTTTTTTCTTATTAATAATATTCATATCAGATTCTTCCCGAACAACAACAACAAAAAATATTCAACCATCATTTTTTAGTGTTTTTGTGAGATGTATAAAATAATGCTGAAAGGAAGTTGAAACCAAACAAGCTCGTAAAGATATCTAACGATTTGTCAATACCAGTTTATGTTCTTGATTTTTTTTGGCTGCAAAAGGATGCGAAAAATAAATAAAATAAATAAAAGAAAAAGTACTAAGTATTGTGAATATTTGTACTAATTCATCTACTACTACTTCTACTGCCATTGCTAACACACCATCTGCTAATGATGGTTATAAGGATAATGATTAATAGTAGTGATAATGATATTAGCAAGAGTAACGATGATAATAATAATAAGGTTAAGAATAAGAATATTAATAACAATGTGAACAATGGCAATAATCGTAATTATGATAGTAATAGTAATGATAATAGTAATAATGATGGCAATAGTAGTAACAATAATAATAATGATCATTATAATACTTATCATTATTGTAATGTTACTACTAATAACAGTAATAATGGGAAAGATATTGATAACAGTATCAATAACAATGATATTTAAAACAATAACAATAATGACAACAATAATTACATTATCACTTCATAATAATAATAATAATTATTATTATTATTATTATTATTAACATCATCATTGACGAAAATCTTATCAATAAAAAGGACAGTGTTAACGACAGTATAAAAGTCAGTAAAAAAACAAAAACAAAAAAACAAAAACTGATAAGAGTATACCATGAAAAAGAATATATGTTAAAACTACACACACGGGTGAGAAATTACACGCCATTTTTATTCATTTAATTTGCTTTCAGTTATGTTTTTTTTCCCGAACAACAACAACAAAAAATATTCAACCATCATTTTTTAGTGTTTTTGTGAGATGTATAAAATAATGCTGAAAGGAAGTTGAAACCAAACAAGCTCGTAAAGATATCTAACGATTTGTCAATACCAGTTTATATTCTTGATTTTTTTTGGCTGCAAAAGGATGCGAAAAATAAATAAAATAAATAAAAGAAAAAGTACTAAGTATTGTAAATGTTTGTACTAATTCATCTACTACTACTTCTACTGCCATTGCTAACACACCATCTGCTAATGGTTATAAGGATAATGATTAATAGTAGTGATAATGATATTAGCAAGAGTAACGATGATAATAATAATAAGGTTAAGAATAAGAATATTAATAACAATGTGAACAATGGCAATAATCGTAATTATGATAGTAATAGTAATGATAATAGTAATAATGATGGTAATAGTAGTAACAATAATAATAATGATCATTATAATACTTATTATTATTGTAATGTTACTACTAATAACAGTAATAATGGGAAAGATATTGATAACAGTATCAATAACAATGATATTTAAAACAATAACAATAATGACAACAATATTTACATTATCACTTCATAATAATAATAATAATTATAATAACAATTATAATTATTATTATTAACATCATCATTGACTTTACAATCATCGATAACGAAAATCTTATCAATAAAAAGGACAGTGTTAACGACAGTATAAAAGTCAGTAAAAAACAAAACAAAAAAACAACAAAAAACTGATAAGAGTATACCATGAAAAAGAATATATGTTAAAACTACACACACGGGTGAGAAATTACACGCCATTTTTATTCATTTAATTTGCTTTCAGTTATGTTTTTTTTTATTATTATCATTTCATTTTTGTTTCTATTTTTTTTTTCTTTTTTGAGGGGGGTCTTTTTCATCTCATGTTAGATTTTTCTTTTATTTATTATATTTAATTTGTTTATTATTTATTTACTCTTTATATTCTTTTCTCATATTTTGGTGCTTACTTATTAGTAAAAAAAATCCCATCTCTTATCTTATGTGTTTTATTTATTTATGTGTTACTTATTACTACTATAATTGTTTAGACGACGAATTACCTGAAATTCAAGTGATGACTGATGACACGTTGGCGATGATAACCATTTGATAACTGCCATTTGCTGACGATTATTAAGTGATGTACAACAGCATCTTATTCGCACATTCAGCCAATTGTCGACAGCCTTATTCGCACACTCAGCCAATTGTCAACAGCCTTATTCGCACACTCAGCCAATTGTCAACAGCCTTATTCGCACACCCAGCCAATTGTCAACAGCCTTTTAGGTGTATATTCACCTCGATAAGGGAAACATGATATATTAAATATATGATAGAATGAATAGATGTTAAATAGAAAAGATAGATGTTAAAATAAACAATAAGAAAATAAATAAATGAAATAATAGGAAAAGAAAAATGTATACATACTCATAAACGACAATAACAATAAAACAAAAATATTCCACATTTCCCCTACCGTAGTTTCAAAAAAGAGAAGAAAAAAATCTGATCTATACACAAAGAAATTCACTCCAATATATCGACTCCCAGACATTCAAGATTAAATATGGATTATCCAACTTTCATTACCTGCTTGTTTGTACTTTTGAATATGAGAGAAAGTGGACAAAATATCCATATTGTCTTTCTCTTTAAATACTTTTGGCATTCCTGTTTCTCTTTTTTTTCGTTATTACTTTTCGTGTTGTTGTTTACGTCATCATTTCTAGTATTATTATCAGTGTCATTGTTACTTTAACTCATATCATTATTATTGTCCTTATTATTTTTACAATGTTATTATCAGATTAGTACCATCATCACCATCATCATCATCATCATAATCATCATCATTATTATCAATTTATCATAACGTAAACCTGCTTATATGTGTCATAATTATCAGCAAACACGTATTTCTTTTTCTGTCACATCGCACTATAATACGATCGAGCTTTAAACAAGGTAATAATGATAATCACCGATGTTGTTATTGCTGTCATTGACACTGTCCTGTTATGCATTTAATTAGAGGACGAAATAGGTTAGTAATATCCCGAAAGCTGTTGTAATTATTAATGAATGTTACAGCTATATCATCGCTATAATTACTGATGTTAATGTTTTTTTTGTTGCTGTTGTTATAGTTGTTAATGTTACCGTTAACATTGTTGGCGTTGTTGTTAATATTGTCACCCCAATTACCAGTCTTATCATTCTTAACGTCATAGTGTTATCATCATTAGTATTATTTTGTTAATGCGAATGCTATCAGTACCGATAATCGTATCATTATTAACGATAATAACGATTAGATTTGCTTAATTATTTAGTTTGTTTGAATCAAGTGAGGATTGAATGCGTAGACTGAGTGATGGGCGGGTTGAGAAATGACTGGATAGGTGCTGGGCAGGTAACTGAATGGATGAATGAAGGGAGGGATAGATAGACAGATAGATAGATAGATGGGGGGATGGATGCAAGGATAGATTACTGTGTATCCAGTGTTTTTCCTCCTGAGTTTGATGAGTGTCGAACGATTTGTACTATCGTGTTTCTTCACATTTAACATCATATGCTTAGCTTAATATATTGCAAAATACAAGTCAGGACGTGCCCACTACCATTCCGACGATCGTAACAATTCATTTGGCAGATTCCACATGGAAAGATATCCCCGGCCATTTTTCGTGTTCTGTAAACCATATACGCGTCGCCTGCTCTCCCCACCACCTCTCGAGACCGTAGTGTTTGAGGGCCACACGAAGCCAAAGTATCGCGCTACAGGCCGTTCCGTTGAAATCGTAGGCTTCGTAACGCTTAGAAGTGCCAAGTGGAACGCAAGGCGAGTGTTGTTGGAAAGACGCTTTGCGTGCCCAAGCACAACAGCTCGGAAAATACCTCGGGGCATTCGCATCACGAAAAAGGAGATACATGTTCTGTTTGAAAGAAACACTATACATAATGATCTAATATAGAAAATATATATACAGTATTCCTTTTTATAACCTTTATAACATACAATCTAAGAAATTGAATTTTATATTAGGCACATAGACCAGTCCACGAACACAGGCGATGAAGTACAAGGTTTTAATTTCACATTTGTAGCATAAGTTGGCCATGTTGAGCACATTTATTTGTTTTAACCATTAATTATTCAAAAATAGTAGTAGCAATAATATATAGCTTAGCAACAATGGTGATAATGAAAATGATAAATATTTAGGTAATGATAACAGTAATAATGGTGAATCTATTGACCGATAGATATCATGGTATTGGTAATATCAAGGGACTATTTCATTTAATTCGTCCCTTTCAAACACAACCAATTTTTTTTGCTTGATTATTTGTTTTAACTCTTTCCTTCCTATTTATCTATTTTATTTTTATTTATCAATTCATTTTCATTTGCAAGCTTGTCAACAGGTAGCTTAGATTTCAGCCTGGCATTGCGTTTTAAAGGAACATAAATATGGCGGGAATTGACCATTTTTCTTTTTCTTTCTTTCTCTCTTTCTTTTTAATATGATTCATGTAATCCTACGGTACATCAGCTATCTTCTCTATTGCCCACTTTCGCATCTTTTCGATTGTATCGTACGCCCGTGGTCTCTGTCCCTGTCTCACGCCCACTTATGTTCTCTGTTTGACGCCCACTCTCGTTTTCTGTCTCACGCCCACTCTCGCTCTCTCTCTCCCAAGCCCATAATCACCCCACAGTCTCACGCCCACTCTCGCCCCTGATCTCACGCCCACTCTCTCCCGCAGGCCCTCCTCGCAGCACCAGCGCACCGCGACGCCCCCGCCCGTGCGTCCGGTCAGCTCATCGACTTCGGACAAAAGTTACGACACGGAGAGCTGTGTGTCGGACAAGGCGGGCGGCGGCGGCAGTCGGCAGGCGCCGCGCCCCGCGCTCTCCACCAATGTGCTGGATAGCGACGCCGTCCTGGCCTCGGGTGAGTCATGGGTTGTGGGTGGGTTGTGGGTGGGTTGAAGGCGGGATGTAGGTCTATGTCTCTCCACCACGACGCAGCCCTTGCCTCGTAGGTTATGGGATGTGGATGCGTTGAAGGTGGGTTGAGGATAGAGGGCGGAAAGTGGGTCTGTGCCTCTCCATCATAAACCTACCTTTGCCTCGAGTGAATCGTGGGCTGAGGGTGGGACGATAGCGGGTTGTGGGTGGGTTAAGGGCGGGAAGTGGGTCTGTGTCTTTCCATCACCGCGCTAGGTAATGAAGTCGCCCTTGCCTTGCCTGAGTCGTGGGTTGAGGAAAGGGCATGAGTGGGTCGTAGGGAGAAAAAAAGGTGGGTGGGAGTGGCAGGTGGGTGGGTGGGTGGGGGGTTAAGGGCAGATGTAGGCCTAGCTCTCTCCACTGATTCAAGCTGGGTTGTGTGAAGGCTTGGCGTCGGTTGGGGATGAGACGAGGGTGGGTTGTGATAGAATTGTGAACTGGTTATGGGAGGAGAGTGGGTTGTGGGCGGTGGATAGGCGGGTTGTGGATAGGCTGTGGGCGGAATGCGGCTGGGATAGAGTGGGTTGCGGGCATAGTGTGTTTGGCTCGTGGGTGGGTTGAAAGAGGGCATTGCGTAGGGCAAGTGGGTTGTGGATGTGACGCAGGTGGGTCAGGAGGTGGGTTGTGGGAGAGTTATGGGTAGCTTATAGGCGATTGTAGGCCTGTTGTGATTCGGCCGTTTGATAGTTATAGATGAATTGTAGGTTGTTGGCTGAGGATGAGGTATTGTTACGTCGAGACTGGTTGGTTGTGAGTGGTTTGTGAAAGGGTCGTGGGCGAGTCACAGTTTGGTTCGTTGGTGGGTTGTGGATTGTAGTAGGCTGTGGGTGAGGTGTGGGCGGGTTATGGTTTGTGGGTAAGTTGCGAGAGGTAATGAATTAGCACACTGTGAGCGGGTTGTGGGTGTTTAAAGACTGTTGTAAAGAGTTGTAGATGGTTTGTGAGTAGATTGTGTGTATGTTGTGAATACTTTGTCAGGGATATTTTATTAAACAGTGTGTGAATTGTGGGTGATTATAGGCGGCGTGTGGGAATTGTCCAAACTGTGGGTGGTTATAATTCGTATTTTCTGAATGTGTATGTATTTATGAACTTACATGTACTTACATGTGTGCGGACGTATGCATGTGTGTGATTTATTCTTTCCGCGTAGATGTTAAAGCTAGAACATACAGCATTTTCACTCAGAGGTAACATCACAATGGAAACAAACGAATTAACAGAAATAACTGCATTAACCGAGTTAACGACACTAACGACAATAACGACGATAACCGAATTAACAAACTTAACGGTACAGGCTAGAATTGAAGAAAAAATTTGTTTTTGAAATAGGAAAAGTTTGATCAAAACATGCGGATGGAAAGGATGACATAGAGGACGATAAATGGAGGTAAAATATATATATGTATATATCAAGGCCGGATTATCCTATAGGCTAGTATAGGCTGCAGCCTAGGGCCCCTCAAGCTTGGGGCCCCCAAGCTTGAGGGGCTTGGTTATAAAAAATCATTTTTTTTTCACTACGGCTGTGTTGGAATATAGTAAAATATATATAAAAAATATATACATATATGTGTGTACGCGCTTGGTTACATATATATAGAATATATGAATATGAAAAAAAAAATAAGTTGCGAAATAATGAAGTCTACTGACCGCAGACATAGTGAAATATCGTGTACCATATCCGTAGAGTTTTATCATTGACTTGCTGTTACGGAATATCACACAGACAATATGACTAAGGTATTTCCCATTACTGGAGGAGTTATTATACCTTACGTAAGGGAGGATCATTATCATTTACCTCACAAGGGTATCACTGTTATATTGTATCTGAAAGGGTGTTATTACCATCTGACATCTTATAAGGGATCGCTCTTATATCCATATAGTGGGTGATAACATGGTATTACTGTTATAATGTATTGTTATAAGGGATTACTTTTACATTCTATCTTAAAAGGCAATTACTTTTATTTTGTATCTTAAAGGGGATTTCCGTGATATTGTATACGGAGAATATAATGATTCCATTAAAAGGATACTATTATATTGTATCTCACGGGTATATTTACCATTATATTACATCTTATGGGGTGTTACTACTGCCTTGTATAGATGTACCTATCATCGTTGCTTATTTTATATGAGGGAAAAAAGGAATTATTTCCACTACTTTTATATTATATATCTTATAAGAGGTATTCCCGTTTTTTGATGTCTTACAGAAGGAAGTGTTACTCTCATGGTTCTTATTGAAGGCATTGATATCACATTGTGTGGTACAGGATATAAATGATATGTGAATGGATTGTATACATTTCCTATTGCATTTGATTTCGTGTCTGAATTTAGTTTTTTCGCCTTTTGATTATTCAATTATATTCTACCTTTATATTTACATCTGAGTTTCACTTATTAGACTTTGTTGTCACATTCTTATTTTTTATTATTATTATTTTTTTACATTTACTTTTCACTTCTTTGTCACTTTTTTTTACATTATTTTCCCCCCACGTTTCTATTTCTTATTTATTTTATTTTTCTATTTTTCGTTCTTGTTCTGCAGTATAGACTAGTGGCTTTTCCTTTTACCTGTTGCATAATACATGTTGCGAATCAAAGCTTGGAATATTCAATGGGGAGTTATTCTTTCTCTTTCTCTCATACTCTTCAACACTTTCATGCTCTCTCTCTCTCTATCTCTCTCTCTCTCTCTCTCTCTCTCTCTCTCTCTCTCTCTCTCTCTCTCTCTTTCTTTCTCTCTCTCTCTCTCTCTCTACCTCTTCTTCATCTCTCTCTCTCTCTATTTCTTCCTCTCTCTACCTCTTCTTCATCTCTCTCTCTCTCTCTCTCTCTCTCTCTCTCTCTCTCTCTCTCTCTCTCTCTCTCTCTCTCTCTCTTCCTTCCTCCCACCCCCCCTCTCTCTCTTCCTTCCTCCCCCCTCCCTCACTCTCTCCCCCTCCCCCTCCCCCTCCCTCCCTACGAGGCACCGAGCCTTCCGCCGTCGACGTCACCGCCTCAATTATGGACGAAAGGGAAGGCTTCAGGGAACTGACATTTGGCGGAACACTCGCGGCGGAACACTTATCTCCTCCTCCCTATTTATCGCAATTATCTCCTCTTCCTTTATCGTAATATTCGTCAGTGTCATCTTTTATCGCCTTCTCTTTTTATTGCAGTTTTCGTCACCGCGATTTTCACTTTCCATGTCTGCGTAAAGGGTGTGGCATGGGGGGGAAGGGGAGGGGAGGGGGTCGTGTGGAGTAGGAAGGGGAAGGGGACGAGGGGAGGAGGGGAGGTATGAGGGGGGGAAGTGGGGTGGGGGGGCTTTGTTGGTGGGGAATGGTGGGGAATGTGGGAGGTTGGGGATTGTGGGGGGGGGGGATGTAAGTGGGAGGTGGGTTGGGGTAGAGGGGAATGGTGGGGAATTGAGGGGGGGGGAAGGGAGGAGGGACGTGAAGCATGTGAGAGGTGTGAGGGGGGGGGGGGGTAGAAGAGAAGGTAGGTGGAGGGAAAAGGATGGATAGGAGGGGGGGTAAGATGGGGAGGGGAAATAGCGATGGGGGATGGCGGGGAAGGAAGTCGGGGGGGGGGGGGGTGAGGAGGGGAAGGCTAACAGGTGGAAAGTTGGGTTGAAAAATGGTTGGGGGGGGCGGAGCGTAAGAGGGAAGTGCGAGGCTGATTGAGGTATTGGGGAAGGCTGGGGAGGGGAAGGGAGGGGGAGGGTAGGGAGAGGAGGAGAGGGGAGGGGAGGACAGGGGAGGGGAGGGGAGGGGAGGGGGGAAGAGCAGGATGGGGGGGGGCGTGGCACCGGATTGTGACATAGATTTGGGTCAGGAATCCGATACTGGAGTCGGGGGCGTCGGCCCTCGTGGCAGGCATGGAATGGGGAGCCGTGGGGGGGGGGGGAGGAAGAGAAAGAGGAGGAATAGGAATGGGAAGAGGAGTAGGAAAACGAAGGAAGAGGAAGGTGTGGATAAGAATGAAGATGGGGATGAGGATGAGGAAGATGAGGAGGAGTAGAAGGAGTGCAAATAGGAAAGGAAATGTGAAAAGAAAGAGGAAGAAGGAAGAAGTAGAGGAAAGGGTGGGGAAAGGAGGAGGAGGAGGAAGTAGAGGTGTAGGGGGAGGAGAGGAAAGAGGAGAAGGAGAGGAAGTAAATGAAAAAAAGGAAGGCGGATGATGACTGAGGTAAAATTGGAATGTAAGGAAGATGAAACAAGGAAAGAGAAAGAAAAACAGGAGAATGAGCAATGGGAAGACGGAGAAATTGAGTGGTAGGAAAAAGAATGAATGAAGAGAAGGAAAGGGAGGAGAAGGAGAAGAAGAAGGGGGAGAGGAAGAAGGAGAACGAGAAGGAAAAGAAGGAGGAGAAGGAGAAGAAGCAGAAGGAGAAGGAGAGGAAGGAGGAGGAAGAGGAGGAGGAGGAGGAGGAGGAGGAGGAGGAGGAGGAGGAGGAGGAGGAGGAGGAGGAGGAGGAAAAGGAGGAGTGGGAGTGGGAGTGGGAGGGGAGGGCCTGTGGTCACTCCTCATTCAGTCGACGCCAGGAATTTGCGGCGAGCGGAGAGGCCACCCGCCACGTCCTCTCACCTGGCCTCCGTCCCGCTGCACCTGCCGCGTCCCCTCGCCTCCTCTGCGTCGCACTTGACCTCTCGTCTATGGAATAAGACCCATGAGACGGCGCGGAGAAGGAGGGAGGAGAAAGAGAAGAAGAAAAACGCCAGAGAGGGTGTGGGAAGAAAAGCGGAATAACAGTCCTCAGTATGGATCTATCGATGAGCCGGACTGGAGTACCTGGAGCCAGCGCCTCGCCTCCGCCGGACAGCACGGGCGCCTCATCTGCAACGTGAGGCTGCGAGGGCGGGCGCCTCTGCTGGGGGGAAATTGGCCTTTCATCTCGACCAAAACAAACGCGACGAAAAGTGATCGTGGCGG